TTTCTTTGTAGATACATGTAATACCTACTATTACTAAGTTACGTTCTTCGTTACTTTTTTTTTTATTTTTAGTTATTATTGTTATATATATATATATATATATATATATACTCAGTAAATATTATTTTACCCTTGATTTATATACAGGGTTGGGTTGGTCAGTTGGAGGAATAATTTTTTTTTAAAATCTAAAGATGAAAAAAAAAACTTTTCTTGTTGTCACTTATTGTTGCTGGCTGTCTTTTATTTAGCAAATTTTGTTTGAAATTGCTTATCAAAATAGTATATCCATCTGTCAAAGTCACATTAAAATCATTTTTCACCAATTACTATATCAGCTATTAATCTACTACTTAAATCATATAAATTTATGAACCATAGATCTTTGATATTTTTTTGCTTGTTCAAGTCAGCTTGTTTATTGAGTTTGGAACAATTCTTCTTAAAGAAATGTGACCAATCAAAGCAGTGAAAAGCAAGTTAAGAAAAATATTTTCCCAAGGAATCTCCACAGTTGACTTGTAGCTCAGATTGCCTTGTAAAAGAAAATCCAACAAATCTAAACTATCATGATCAAAAATGCAGTAAAGAATCCGAAAAAGAAAATTTTTCCTACAACAGTGTCGTGTTCTTGGTAAATCTTTTCAAAAACCAATGAGAATGTTGTTGCTTCAAAAACTTCAGGTCTCGACACTAATCGAACTAAGTTGCATGGCAACACATCGGCATTCTTTTCATCTAATCGTGAGCAGTTTCAGTCTTCACAAATTTAAAAAAAGTATATGGTTTGCCACAGCACTTCATTACTCGTAGCCCTGTGGTTATTAAGACAGTCAACTTCTAAGGAGTAAAGTCATTTGTTATTAGAAATTGGGATCAGAATGATCTTCTTTGTTAGAGTAGAATCCTATCAATAAAGTTGTCTATTATATTGTTTCTTACATTAGGAGTTTTTCTGGATTGCTATTTCACAAAACTGATTTAAGTATTTTAAATTTAAAAGTTGCTGACCAAGGTGGTTAATAAACAATAGGACTATTGTTCATCTTTCCAAATTAAAAGTTACTGACCAAAACGAGCTGATGTCCAACCTTGTTTGAATAAAACAATCTCTTTTTTTTTCCAAATCTACATTAGGTTTTACAGTAGGTGTAATGTTCTTATCATTGTTTTATACTTATTATACATGTGTTCTATAAAGAAGAATATTCTGTGTTAATGAAAGTTAAAAATGTGAAATTTTTAAAGTATGAACACCATAAGTGGACATGTATTATTTAATTTTCTTATTCTTCTCACAGTCCAATTTTGGGTACTGATCACTTTCTTGCTTTCTATAAGGTTTCGCTAAGCTTCTGCTTTTATGATTCCCGTAGATTTGGGATAAGTACGAGGATATATAATTTTGATCTCCTAGGCTTGGAAAGGACCATAAATTTCAGTGCTGTAAATTTGGGACAAATTGAATGTAATAAGATAAAAAAATTATAGCAGTATGAATGAATAATGGATGAATAAGAAGTTGTGTTTCAAACATTTATTAGCCTTTCACCTACCCTCATTGAATCTTCCTTAGCTGGTTGAATTGGTGAGTAAACACATAGAAAATTTATTTGTTTTGGGGAAAAAATAAGCTTAATTTGTAATAGTTAAATTGAAACAAAAAATATGTTTTGCAATATTTTTTTCAAATTTGGTCAAATTCAACATTTTCATGATCTATCTGATTTGGAGTGGATTAGTCAGCACTATGTTTATATGTATGTGTGTGTGATAATCCATGTAATATGATTTTTTTTTCCTATTTGCAATACTTGTTAATTGAATATTTTATGTTTTTGACTGGATTTTATTGTTTTTTTAGATTTTATAGTCTTGCTTTTTGCAAGCATAAATTCAAATTAAAAAAAAAAGAAACGTATTGAGCTTTGGGTACTGGTTCTATAGTCCGTTGGATAGAGTTCTCTTGAAAGTTTTGTAGCTGATAATTAACAGTTTTCTTCAACTCCTTAGGATATTGTCCATCACCAGGCAAGGTCTCATTAACTCCATACTTAATGTTCTTTTAAACTACTATTGTGTGTCTTATTGGTTTTGTAAACATTGTAGAAGAAAACTCACTTTCTGTTTGTTAGTAGTGATTATGTTTGTTAATGTGCATGCTTTACATTACCTTTAATACATAATTTATGATGGTCATGCGAAAGGACAAACATAAAAATTGTTAGAATGAGTGCTGGTTTGTTAAAATAACATAATTATTTAAAAAGAGTTGAACTACATAACAACTTAACAAAAAACTGACATAAAAAAAGATCTGATGTTTATGCATGAAATGTTTAATTTAGTTACTGTTAAAGTTAAAAGGTCCTGAAATGTTTTCAACCAAGAATTGTGGGAACCATTTTCTTTGTTTATTATTAGTAAATCTCGTATTGCTCAGAGAAAGCTAATCGGTTAAGAAATTATATATTGAAATATTTTTACTAGTAACAGACATAGTTTGATAGGGGGCCCATCACTGCTTGAAGAATTCTGTTGAGTGGCAAAATTTATGTACTGCGTTGTTGAAGTATTTTATGAGGTATACGTAATATTAGATATTTATAATTTCTGACTTTCACTTAATAACGTTTACATCCTACCAGTGTTTGGTGTAGATTTTGCAGGGTTTGTTCAGGTAATTACTGTTAAAACATTTCACAAAACCCTAAATCAGTCTCTCTATCTCATTTTATTTTTTCATTAATGTACATTTTTAGGGACAGGGAAAAAGAATGGGAGGAGGAAAAGGATCTATAGATCACTATGTCACACCTGTTAAAGCTGGTCGTGTAATAGTAGAAGTTGGCGGACATACAGAGTTCCAAGAAATTGAGCCAGTTTTAAAAGAGGTAAATTATTTCAAGTTTGCAACAAAATCATCTATATAAATGAATATTTTTATTAGAATAACACTTTAGCTTCGATAAGAGCAAAAGTTGGAACATATGTGTAACTTCAAGAAACTAGAAAAAAACTGGCAAGGACAAATTTACACTAGGCAACATTACAAAGGAAAGAAGCGGGAAGGAGAAGAAAGATGTTCCAAATAATTAACTCACCAAAACTTGTTTCTATAATAGTAAATTGCATGTTGGAAATACATGTAGTTATAAATCTGACAATCAAAGAAAACATAAATGAACTAAAAGTTATGTACTTATATTACTTGTGTTAAAATCTGTTAATTACTAACAGTTATTATGTACTGACATTAAAATCTGTTAATGACTAACAGTTATTATGTACTGACATAAGAATCTGTTAATGACTAACAGTTATTATGTACTGACATTAAGAATCTGTTAATGACTAACAGTTATTATGTACTGACATAAGAATCTGTTAATGACTAACAGTTATTATGTACTGACATTAAAATCTGTTAATGACTAACAGTTATTATGTACTGACATTAAAATATGTTTTATGACTAACAGTTATTATGTACTGACACTAAAATCTGTTTTATGACTAACAGTTATTATTTACTGACACCAAAATCTGTTTTATGACTAACAGTTATTATGTACTGACACCAAAATCTGTTTTATGACTAACAGTTATTATGTACTGACATTAAAATCTGTTTTATGACTAACAGTTATTATGTACTGACATTAAAATCTGTTTTATGATTAACAGTTATTATGTACTGACATTAAAATCTGTTTTATGATTAACAGTTATTATGTACTGACACT